GCTGGCAATCTTTTAGAATTTCTGACTTCTCACGGAGAGTTGAAAAAAAAAATGTGTTTTTCGCCATTTTCACAAAACTGATTAACCACAACAAACAACGAATTAAAAACTTATAGATTTTTGAACGTTCTCTTGACGCATTGCCACTTGTTTATTACATGTGTATTCCACATTAGAGTGAATGCAGGAACTTAACATATCTGTGCATTCCGTATCTCGAAACATTCGGGGAACCCCAGAATCGGACAGAAACAACCGATGAAAACAACAAGTAGGCAGAAAAAGGTATTAGTATTTTTTAAGTTTAAGATTGGCTGTAATACGGTTTAGATAGTGATTATTGTAAGAGTGGTAAAGAGTTAATTTGTTTCAGTTAATTGGTGAAGTAAGTGTTGATTGATTTTAATTTAGGAATAAACGTACCCAAGATTTCTGTCACGCAAGCCCGAGCCGTGACAATATTATTTACTTTTGTCTTTTAATAATTTCTTAATCATCTTGTGAATTATTATTCATTTAAATAAGTAAACCTGAGGAAGTACATCGTTTTTAGCCAACGCATACAACCCTCGGTACAACCATGAATAGAAAGGCCATCTAAAGATATTGCAAAAGCCCAACAATCTTTTCTTGGACTGAGAAATTTGGCTAGTCATTCCCAAGTACGAGCCGCTGTAATGTTGAAAAATCATTTTGGCGAATATGAACAGCAAACGAGACAAAACAAGTGAGACTTGCTCTTGTTGATAGTACATTCCAATAATGATTATTACCATATCAGTATTCTATATGTAGGATTTATAGGTCTTAAATTTGTGGTCAAATATGGCGCCTTTTTTTATTCAGCGATGGATCCATCGATGACCAGTCTATCTTTATCCTTCTCATAGAAAATTGGAATGGCTGTTTCATAATGCTAGCAGCAGATGGATTACTTGCTGAATAGAAGAATTCGCCCATACATTGTTCATACTAGCGAGATTCTCAAAAGTTCACACTACAGAATATACATACATATAATGTATTCATTCTGGCTGTTCATACTGGGAGGTTCACAGAACCGTGTGTCCACACTAGCGCGAGTCTACTGTATTTAAGTATACCAACATAGATACCCTTTTTGCCAAAATACTTATGTTATTATCAGAATCGTTTATCTGAAAAAAATATTTTAAATCAAAAAAAGCATGGCCACACTATCCAGAATTTTTATTATTGAACCCTTTTTTCGTTCGGATGCCAGAAATACCAATAGCTTTCTAACAAGTGTGAGACTTCCACATCAGCAAGAATCTCTACAAAAAATGAGGGCAGATCTTACGGGAGATTTCAAATCACAGACAACTACTATGGTCATGAGTTAAACATCTTGAACAGTAGGAGTTTTGGAAAACACAAATTTGCGAGACCAGAATGGTAATATCCCAGTAAAAACACGACACAATAACCAGATTGATTCGATAATTTCATCGGTGTCAACTGATTACTATTGTTGGAATCCACTACTTTATCTTGAAATTGCCATATCGGTTCCAGGAAATATGCTCTTTTGAACCGCTGATCAATAAGGGACTAAAAATATGCTCTTTTGAACCGCTGATGCTTCAAAGATAGACAAAATATTGTCTGAATTCGTATGGCAACAAATTTTAAACATAATTTCTCTGGTTAATTGAAATTAATGAACTTTGGCCTGCAGTGAATTGTTTTTGAATGTATCTTCATCTTGCATCGGCGCAGTTTACTTTTCCGAGGCATTGGTTTCCTCCTGAGTTAGCCCGGATATTGGCTTTTTAAAAGCATCAACTTATACCGTCTCAGACTTTAGTCGAGGGTCACCAGGGCTTACCCTACAGAGAGGGTATTGGAAATAATAATTTTTATTGAAACCAGAAAATTCTAAGTTTGTTCAAATATACCATCATATTTCTGATTAAATGCAGTGAATGGACTTCGGCCCGCATTAAATTATTTTTGTATGTATCTCTGTTTCTTCCACGTAATGGTCTACTCTTGAATTAACCCGGATGACTTCTTCACCTCGTAGACTGGCGGATATTGGCTTTTGAAAAGCATCAACTTATACCGTCCCAGAATTTAGTCGAGGGTCACCAGGGCTTACCCTACAGAGAGGATATTGGAAATAATAATTTTTATTGAAACCAGAAAATGCTAAGTTTGTTCAAATATACCATCATATTTCTGATTGAATGCAGTGAATGGACTTCGGCCCGCATTAAATTATTTTTGTATGTATCTCTGTTTCTTCCACGCAGTGTATTTCTTCCATGTTATGGTCTACTCTTGAATTAACCCGGATGACTTCTTCACCTCGTAGACTGGCGGATATTGGCTTTTGGAAAGCATCAACTCATACCGTCCCAGCCTTTAGTCGAGGGTCACCAGGGCTTACCCTACAAAAAAGGATATTTAAACATTAGATTTTCAAAAAACCAGAGAAAATTATATTTGTAAAAATATAGAAGTAAATTGCCAGAATATGAGCATATAGGAAGCTGCATTGAACATATGTTTAAATCTATCACACACCTGATATCCTGATGTGCTTTTTAAATACTAAGAATGTCGAAATATACTTCTGATAGTAATCAAAAATACTACTTTTTCTTATTGTTTACCAGAGAAGAGTTAAATGGCAAAGATGACAACATATTTAAGTATACCAACATAGATACTTTTCTAGCCAAAATACTTATGTTGTTATCAGAATCGTTTATCTGAAAAAAATAAATAATTTAGTTCAAAAAAAGCATGGCCACACTATTCTGAATTCTTATTATTGAACCCTTTTTTCGTTCGGATACCAGAAATACCAATAGCTTTCTAACAAGGAATATAGTGTGAGACTTCCACATCTGCAAGAATCTCTACAAGAAATGAGGGCAGATCTTACGACATATTTCAAATCACAGACAACTACTATGGTCGTGAGTTGAACATCTTGAACAGTATTAGTTTTGGAAACCACAAATTTGCAACACCAGAATGGTAATATCCCAGTAAAAACACGACACAATAACCAGATTGATTCGATAGTTTCATCGGTGTCAATCGATTACTATTGTTGGAATCATCAATACTATATCTTGAAATTGCCATGTCGCTTCCAGGAAATATGCTCTTTTGAACTGCTGAACAATAAGGGACTAAATATATGCTCTCATGCTCCAAAGATAGACAGAATATTGTCTGAGTTTGTATGGCAACAAATTTTGAACATAATTTCTCTGGTTATTTGAAATAAATGAACTTTGGCCAGCAGTAAATTGTTTTTGAATGTATCTTCATCTTCCATCGGCGCAGTTTACTTTTCCGAGGCATTGGTTTCCTCCTGAGTTAGCCAGGATGACTTCTTCACCTCGTAGACTGGCGGATATTGGCTTTTAAAAAGCATCAACTTATACCGTCCCAGACTTTAGTCGAGGGTCACCAGGGCTTACCCTACAGAGAGGGTATTGGAAATCGTAATTTTTATTGAAACCAGAGAATACTATGTTTGTTCAAATATATCATAATAAATCTGATTAAATACAGTGAGTGGACTTCGGCTCGCATCAAATTATTTTTGTATGTATCTCTGTTTCATCAGCGCAGTGTATTTCTTCCATCTTATGGTCTACTCTTGAATTAACCCGGATGACTTCTTCATCTCGTAGACTGGCGGATATTGGCTTTTAAAAAGCATCAACTTATACCGTCCCAGAATTTAGTCGAGGGTCACCAGGGCTTACCTTTCAGAGAGGGTATTGAAAACCGTAATTTTTATTGAAACCAGAGAATACTATGTTTGTTCAAATATACCATAATAATTCTGATTAAATACAGTGAGTGGACTTCGGCTCGCATCAAATTATTTTTGTATGTATCTGTTTTATCAGCGCAGTGTATTTCTTTCAGGTATTGGTCTACTTTTGAATTAACCCGGATGACTTTTTCACCTCGTAGACTGGCGGATATTGGCTTTTGGAAAGCATCAACTCTTACCGTCCCAGCCTTTGGTCGAGTGTCACCAGGGCTTACCCTACAAAAATGGACATTTGAAAATTAGATTTTCGAAAAACCAGAGAAAATTATATTTGTAAAAATATAGAAGTAAATTGCCAGAATATGAGCATATAGGAAGCTGCATGTAACATATGTTTAAATCTGTCACACACCTAATATTCTGATGTGCTTTTTGAATAGTAAGAATGTGGAAATATTCTTCTGATGGTAATCAAAAATACTACTTTTTCTTATTGTTTACCAGAGAAGAGTTGAATGGCAAAGATGACAACATATTCAAGTATACCAACATAGATACTCTTTTAGCCAAAATACTTATGTTGTTATCAGAATCGTTTATCTGAAAAAACAATATTTTAAATCAAAAAAAGCATGGCCACACTATTCAGAATTCTTATTAATGAACCCTTTTTTCGTTCGGATGCCAGAAATACCAATAGCTTTCTAACAAGGAATATAGTGTGAGACTTCCACATCTGCAAGAATCTCTACAAGAAATGAGGGCAGATCTTACGAGAGATTTCAAATCACAGACAACTACTACAAAAAAAGTTTCAAAACAATTGAAATTCAAAAATATTCTGCTCATTTGTGGAGGATTCTAAGAAATCCATAGGTCCCAAGCTGAAAAATTTAAAGAAAAAGTCACATCCAACTATATCCTTTCAGTAGCCCAATTTCTGATAACTACTTTGAAAAAAAAAATTATCAAATCCCTTTTAAACTATGCCTCCCAATCTTATTGCAAAGTAGTATATGGACCTGTTTCTCAAAAACTTATTTTTCCAAAATTCCCCAAAGTAGACAAAAATTGGATTTACTGAAAGCTATAGTTGTTTTTTTGCAATTCTTTAATAAATCATGTCCTACAAATGCAAAACTGCAAGAAATATTTCCACATTGAAATATCATATAGAATGCTTTAAATTGGCAACACTAATCAATTAAATTTATTAAAAATTCAGTGCCTAATTACTTTCTGTATCATCATAATTAGTAGATGTTGGAAAGCAAATCATTCATCTATTTATTTAAATCTATCATGATTTTAATATTTGTGAATAGGAATAGATTATAGAGTTGTTTTTCCTATATGGAAGACATATTTCTTATAGAATATATTTTCAATTTGAGATGATTGAGAGATGAATTAAATATCAATTTTTTATTTATTATTGAAGATCACGCAAAAGTGAAAAAAAAAACGGAAAAAACCCCACAGGCATAAAATAATTGAACAAATTTCAACGATAGTTTAACGATGCTCGTATTTAATTCTCTATTCAGCTGCCATGACTTCGTTGCCCTGCTGCGGCTGTGGTTTATCAACGAATAATTCCATTCTGTCAGTGACTAGTTTTCTTGGCTGGAATTTTCAACTTTTGGGGGTTGTCTGGGCTGTCTGTCCTGAAAATAGAAATTACTATTACATGAAAATAAATTTAATGAGTCCTGGGATAAAATGAAAATACACACACCGGCAAAATGGACGGACAAAATTTACACTAAGTTTGACATCAATTGTCTCTTCAGGAATACATCTTACTTATAACGGGTATTAAATGATTCGTCTTTATATCATATACAGGGATGGAAAGAAAGTCAATAATTTTCAGTGTTTTTTGAGAGACCCTGTGAACCACTGGAAATTCAGAACAGTTTTCAACACCAAATTGTAGCCTGATCTTTTCCAAATATTTTAATTTTTCATTCACTTTTATTATATTTTCAATAATATTGAAAATGCAAAGTTTCGAAGAAAAAGGTAGATATTGACCTTAATTTCCTCCACATCGACATACGAATTGGATATGAAAATGTGTCGTTTTCCAGCTTCAAGTCGTGTGTGTGGATGTATACTTCAAGTTAAATATTGCTCGCAGTTTTACCTCTTACCGATCAATTTATTGTAAAAAGATTGCTCACAATTATACAGGGGTATGTTATTTATCTAAACTAAACTCTCCTTTCACACTTAACCAAGGCTTAGGAGTTCTCCAATGCATCCTTCAACAGACCTCTCCACATCGATAGAATATTGATAAATTTAATCTTATTTGAACAGGAAAAAATACGTTTACGAATACAATTTTGTTTCTGTCGTTGGTTATTGTCAAGTCAAAGTCAAGCAAAAGTCAACATTCCTATTTAATTTTAATTGATAAAAATCCAACATGGGTGATATGACTCCTACTGATGTGGCGAGGGCTGTATCGTTGATTAAAAATAAACTTACTCTTACACTGATGTTGCTGACATGTTAAAATCCACAATCTATCGTAATGTAAGACGTTGGAGGCAAACGGGAGAGTATGTGAGGAGACGAGGCCAAGGTAAAAAACGGTCAACCGGGGCCAGAGACGACAGATTTATTGTTTTGCAAATATTATGGAACAGGCGTAGAACGCTACCACAAATAAAAAACAAACTAGAAGAAGTACGTGGAAGGAGGACGAGTCATCGAACCATCAGCTGAAGGCTCCGCAAAATAACTTGGCGAGAAAGCAATTTGCGCAGTAGGCAAAATTCGCGAATGGTAGGGGCGTAACTACAGTACCGTCAGTACCTACACTTTCTTAGCTTTGCCTGTGCCAGAGAGAAAAGCCAACGGCTACGGCTAGCTGCGCCAGCTCTCGCCAAGTAATTTTGCGGGGCATGTACATGGCACGGAGTCCAATCACAGAGGAGTGCGTTCATAAAAGAAAATGTCGTTGGTGTGGGTGCGAGCGTGTGTCTACGGAGTGTGTGCTATTATTTCACACAGAGTGTCGAGAGCGCGAAGTCTTTTATGAACGCATTTGTGAAATATTTATGATGTCATATGACAAACGTCAAATTTGTAAAAATTGTAAACATTTAAATTAATCTAATCTATAGTAGTTTATTCTTATTCAAATTGTTATTTTGAAATTAGTTTGTTCAGTTTTTGTAAAATTCTCACAATGGCCTTCTTCTGCCGTATTTTTCTTCCATCTGTGCAAAATTTATTTGAAATTCCCGTATCTATGTCCGACAGTGAAAGTGATGAGTCGGAGACGAGTGAAGAAGAATATGAAATGCTATTTCTTTCCAAAAAACGGAAGTTGGCTAAACCATGCAGAATTTCAGAATACTTCGAAGAAATAGTTCCCAGCTTAACTCGCCAACAATTCCAGCAACATTTTAGAGTTACTATAGATGCTTATGAACATCTTTTGGGTATGATTGGGTTAGAACTGTCTCGTAGAACGGTTGTTGGAAGATCTACAGTGAATCCAGAGAAACAGTTACTAGCTGTTTTGTGGCTTTTAGCAACTCCAGACTCATATAGGTAGGTATTGAATTCACAGGAACCAAAAATGTATTAAACCTATTTCATTTCCATTTTTTTTTCTCATTTTTTAGATCAGTTGGAGAACGTTTTAACATTGCCAAATCTACCCTATCAGTCTGTTTTTTAAGAGTGATTAAAGTACTTAATTCCCTCGCTACTCGAGTTATAAAATGGCCAGAAGGAGAAAGGCTCAACCAAATTAAGAGAAAATTTGGTAACATTGCTCAATTGGAAAATGTTATAGGAGCCGTAGATGGCACATATATACAAATTAAAGCCCCAAAAGAAGACCCTCAGTCCTATATTACAAGGAAGTGCAATTATGCTTTCACCTTGCAAGCAGTTGCAGATTCAGATCTATTATTCATAGATGCATTTATAGGTTATCCAGACTCAGTCAGTGATACTAGAATTTTTAAGAACTCTGATATCTATAGAGCAATAAGGAACAATCGTGGCAGGTATTGTCCGAATAATACATTTATCATCGGAGATAAAGCTTATCCATTATTATCATGGTGCATTTCTCCATTTATAAATAGAGGACAATTAACTCCAGCCCAAACTTATTTCAATATTGTTCATGCAAAAACTCGACAGGTCATTGAAAGAGCTTTTGCATTATTATTTGGGAGATTTCGAAGACTCAAATTCCTAGACATGAACAGAAATGATCTCATTCCAGGAACAGTATTAGCTGCATGTGTATTACACAACATTTGTTTGACTCAGGTGGATCATCAGGTTAATGATTATATTCAAGAAGGTGCCAATAATGTAATTAATGAAGACGAGGTTAATGTTGCTATAGAAGGTAGAATACAAGAAGAGGAAGGAAGAAATATGAGAAATGATATCTGCAGGAATCTGTATTTAAATAGAAATAGACATTAATAACACGTTACAATTTTTATATCATTTAATAAACATAACTTGCAAATATCTGATTTTTATTTTTAATGAACCCTACTTACACAGGTTGTTATTGATTGAAATGGTGTAAAAAGATTTGGAGGGTGGTAGTACTCATAAAACTGGTAAAAAAAAGTTCCTATAAATATGGCTCGTAAAAGTGTTAAGAAAATAAATAAAAAAATCGTTTTTTTGAAATTGGTTTAAAAAACGAGATAAATTTTATGAAGAAATCCGAGCTAGCATACTTTTTGTCCATCAAATGATGATGTCAAAAAATAATTTGTTGAATCGGAAAGGGTATTTTTTCCCAAGGGTGAGGGGTTTCTATGCCCCCTAATATGCATTTTAGAACCCATACTTATAGGATTTTTTTTCGCCAGTTTTATGAGTAGGTACTATCATCCCCCAAAATTTTTTACACCATTTCAATGACACCCTGTATATGACAAAACAAAAGTTTATTAAATCAGGTTATTGCACCAGTACCTATATAACAATACAACCTAAAAACCACTTATTACAGTACATCATACCATACCTAAATAAATATATTATTATCTACTAATCTTACTAGATAAAAGTATGGTTGTCTTGAATTAAAAAAATATACCTATCTCTGTTTAGTAAAGAAGCTTTAAAGGCTCAAAATTTAGGTACAGGGTTTTCTCCTATATTTTTACACCCCACCTGAACAGGTTGATTGAATAGGTAATCAAAAAAGTGCAAATACAAGTTAGGCCAAGCAATGGGGTGCTCAAAAGTGCTTTGCCTGGAAAAAAATACAGGAGTTTTGAAACTTGGCTGGCAAGTATAGGTGTATGACCTAAGCAACATACTTCATTTGCGACCTTGGGAAGCCGCCGCTCGCCGTCAAACTTGAAATTTTTTGAAAATTTGTCAAAATTTTCGAGGTCGATTTTCTCGAAAACGGTGCCCCGTAGAGGGGTAACTCTAATGAGCAATTTTGTAGTCCTCAATGAGATCTACAAGATTTGTATTTAAAATTTTTCTCTCAGACCTCTCTTTTCCGAGTTATGACGTTTTGAAAATTCAAAAGAAAAAAAAATCAAGGCTTGGAATTTTTTTGACGAAAAAATTAATTATTTTTTTTTTCGATTTTTTTTTGTAACGACGGTCTAAAGGGGGTCCCAAGTATCCCCTAAATAAAATAAAAGTCATGATATAATCTCAATATCCTCAATATGGAAAACAAGTGCAGTGGCGAGCTGCAAGCAAATGTATTTCATTGATTTAAATAATTTGCCATCACTTATATCAATATAACTCCTGAACTATTGATCGCACGGAAAAATGTAATGAAGGAAAGTTGTAGGAAATTTTCCCCTCTATACTCTTGTAATGACTATTATTTACGTAGGGCCTACTGAAAAAAAGATACTCCGAAAAAACTGATTTTTGGCTCCATCTTTACAATATGGTGGTGCGAGCGGCGGCGCACAGAGGTCTAAATGTAAAAATTACGGGGACATTAGGTGACAAACTTGACTTCACTGGATATTGATAATATGTATGATTTTTTAGACAGAATAAAGTGAGACCTTATGTGTATATCAAGGTTTTTTGTTTGGTAGATCGGAATGCGATAAAATTGGGGACAACGGAGACAAAAATATAAATCCTCATTTAGTTAGAATTTATTCTCGATTATCTTCGAGTTCGTTTCGATAGTTAGTGTTGATAATATAATATCGTGTTTTGTTTAATTATTCAGGCATGTCTGCTGATTTGTTGGGTAAACTTAGTTACTTATTTCGTAGCACTAATTTTGATATAAATAATTTTCAAAGAAGTACTCAAAATTTTATTTAAGTTCCAAGAATGGAAGGCCCCAAAAAAAAAACCAAACTTTTGTTAACCGTCAAACTCAATCTATTTTAAAGCTAGTATTTCTGACTTTCTTGAAACTATATACTCAGCTGCAACCAGCTGCAATCTTGTGAAATTTTTATTTTTTTCCTCTTCAGGTACTGTTTCGGGCGTGACTCGAAAACAGTTATTTGAGTTTCTGAATGAAAATGGCTGGATGGGAAGTGCCAATTCTTCGATTGTGAAAAACAAGATGGGCGACTTTGTCAATCAACGCATCCCTACTGCCGACAAGGATGACCTAACCAACAGAATTTCGTGGTTTTCGACGCAAATTGCGTTACGTTGGAAAAGGTGCCACCGAAATAAGATTTACTTTTTGAATAAACATGAAATTTGGCTCAATGAGTTTGTTTATAAATCTAAGTGCCAAAGCACCTTCCAGCGACACGCAGAAAAGCCTTCGAGAAAGAACACAAGAGAATTTAGTGACGTTAGTGCTAGAACCAGGAGAAGACGAACACAAGAATTGGTTTCTCACCATAGTCCTGCTGAACTTGCGTTTGCTACTCAGTCTGGATATACGAAAAGAGGAAAGAGAAATGTTGCTTTCGTCATAAAAAAAGCCACGATTTCTAGTCCAGAAGAGTTGACTAAAATAAAACAGTTAGGAAGGTTCAACAACGAGATACGACCATTTTCTCCAGTAGACGCCTTGGCATTAATTGTCGATGTAAAGTTGACAAAATCGCAGTATAACAAGTTAAGAGAAAGCCTCAAAAATCGAGGTTGTAATCTGTTTCCTGCTTATGGGCAAGTTCTTAATGCAAAAAAAGAATGCTATCCACCAGACATAAAGGTGACAGAAACAATGGCTGAAATAAAACTGCAGAGTCTACTCAATCACACTGCTAGACGTCTATGCTTGGTACAACAGAGTGTGATTGATCAAGTTTTGGAAAATCAAGCCTCCCCTAACTTTGAAATGATTTATAAATGGGGGTTTGATGGAAGTTCGAGTCACTCAACTTACAAACAAATATTTGAATGTGATGATGACACTCAAAGTGACTCTGATTTATTGCTGACATCAATTGTTCCGTTACGAATGGTTACTCGGACTGACTCTAATGAAACAATTATTTGGCAAAATCCACGTTCCTCTTCCACTCGGTTCTGTATACCACTAAAGTTTCAATTTGTGAAGGAAACTCGAGACATCACAAAACAGGAAAACGAACATATTGAACAGCAAATTTCGACCTTGGTTCCAACATCTTATCAGCTATCTGGAAAAGATATCACAATAAGCCATACGCTATTGATGACAATGTTAGACGGCAAAGTAGCCAACACCTTAACTGATAATCCATCGAGTCAAACTTGCTATATCTGTAAAGCAACACCTAAAGACATGAATAAATTAAATATTGTTACAAAAAAACCTTGCAACAATACTACTTTTCAATATGGCTTATCAGTGCTACACGCAAACATTAGATTTTTTGAGTGTCTGTTGCATATCTCTTACCGGCTGGAAACAAAAAAATGGCGCGTTCGAGGACCCGAAAACAAACAAGTTTTGGAAGAAACAAAAAAAAACATAATTACTAAATTTCGTCAACAAACTGGATTACTTGTGGACACTGTTAAGCAAGGTAGTGGAAACACCAATGACGGAAATACAGCGAGACGTTTTTTCGAAAACCCAAAGCAGGCTTCTGAAATAACAGGTGTTAACCAAGAACTCATTTACCGCTTCTCCGTTATTTTGCAAGTAATTTCTTGTGGTTATAGCATCAACGCAGAAAAATTCAGGAAATACGCATTTGAAACAGCAGAGTTGTTTGTCAAATTATATGAATGGTACAATATGCCTGCATCTGTGCATAAGATTCTGATCCATGGAGCGGATGTTATGGACTCATTACTTCTTCCAATTGGTTTGTTAAGTGAAGAAGCTCTGGAAGCTCGACACAAGGAGTGTCGATATTTTCGCCAGCATAACGCTAGAAAAACTAGTAGAAAAGATAACGTGGAAGATCTATTACACGCTCTTTTATTAACATCAGATATGGTTATTTCAAATAAAAGGCCTTTGCCAAAAAAAAAAAATATCCAATCTGATGAAAGATGTTCAAGATCTATTAAATGTGCCAGAAGTTCAAGATTCATCAACTTCAAGAATTCCAGATGAGCTAGACAGTGACAGTGACTCTGATTACGAAAACAGTGATTTAGATTTGTAATTTCAAAGCTACCTACTTATATTAAGGATACTGTGTGATTGAGTGAAAATAGTTTACGGGCAAGTCCTCTGCAAGTTTCTGCTTATTGGCGTCATCAGGTCGGGTGTAACCCAAAAATTTGCTTATCCCAGGAATATGTCGAAAACTCAGAAAAATATCGTACTTAAATGTAAATATTCTCGGAATTTCCATGTCCCACGGAAATTCGAGAATATTTATATGACAATGAAAACATAGAATTAGTATTTTTTGATAACGACTTGGCCGAAAATATGGATGAAAATTGAAATAGACAATTGATCTTATCAAAATATCCAAATTGCGTTCCAAAAATATGGAGTTATCCAATAATAATTATTTGTAAATATAAATATATAAAAATATTATTGATTGTGATATCTGACAACAATGTATTTTAAATGAAAAAGTTTAAGTACCAGTCGAGTTTAACTAAGCTCTGTTTTGAACCAGGATTGTACAACTGGGCCCTATCTCAGGATTAATCCTGAGATAGGGCTTCTAGGTCGGGATTATTCTCGACTTATGTTCTATATATCAGAATTAATCCCGAGATAATGAGTGCTTCTGAATTTTGATCTTTCAAAGCTTCCGTAGTTTAGGAATGTGAGCAAAATACTCCATGAACAAGTACAATACAATACAAATACAATGTATCAAACTGAGACCTACCAGTCAACTGAATTATTTAGTACATTTTTCAATAAATTGGTCCATTTTTTCGGAAAAAACATCAATTGCTCGATTTCTAACATTTAATAACTCTTGATGCCTGCGTTCTTTGCTTTGTTCCCTTGCTCCTCGAGAATTTTTCATCTCATCCCAAACAGAACAAAGTCCAGTTTTATTCTGCTTTACTCTTGGGACAATTTCCATCTTCATTTTTTTCCTTGGTGCCTCCAAGGATGCTTCATTTGAAACATCCTGATCGCCATCTTCTTGCAATGCATCCGTGGAACCTGCTGCATTTTCATTTGGCACTAAAATTTAATAAAATATATATTTAATTTCATGTGACTTACATAATTCAGTGGATACTGCTTCTGCTACCTTTTACTGCTGCTTTTTATGACCAAAACAAAATTGTAATTTTTGTATACATAAATAATACCATAATGATAATTTGGAGAAGAAATATGACAAATTAATATGAAAAGTGATACGTTTGACACAATGTGAGGTAGAGTTTAGAGTTTAGTAAAATATAAAGTTAGAAATATGTAGGTAGGTACCTGTGTCTCCTCTTATTGAAGAGGCAACCGCAATAGGTTTTATATTGTGTTTTTTTCCAAGAAACTCGTCCATTATTTGATAATATGGAAAATCAACTGGTTCTTGTCCAGATCCTTTGTCTCCCCGATTGTCTTTCGCTGCCGTATACTTTCCTTTCAAATAGCGCCACTTATCATTGCATTGCGTGGGTGTCATTTCAAAACCATTTGCTTTCATTTTATTTGATATTAGTTTCCATGTAACATCATTTTTCTGTGTGGTGGAAGTAAAATCAGTATTATGTTCAATTCTTAAATTTATCAGCATTAAAATTGCATTTTTGGACCATTTTCCTCTTTTATTTGGGACATTTCCATCACATGGTTGATTGTTCGGGTTGGTGGATAATGATGCAACGGGTTCTACGTGGTCAATGGCTAAAGATGGTGCAGATTGGCATTGCTCTATATCGTCAGTATCCTCTTTCTCCGACAGGGTAATGTTAAATTCATTCAACACAATATTTGTGGGTTTGATTGTACAAAGGTTTCCAGCTAAAAATAAGACAAAGCTGAATTATTGATAGTGTTTTCACCGAGGTTTTCACTAAAGTTTTCAATTTCACAATTTTTTACAAGCTAACCCAAAGGAACTACCTATATAGAAATATGTATACTAGAATACCTAGTTAACTTCGCCTAAATCAATTTTATAGTTCTTAGGGCCGGATTCTCAATAGCGAGTCACCTCCAGGTTGGTTTCAACTCCAGGGTTAACGTGTAAAGTTGCAATGTTTACCCCGGAGTTAGCTTAACCCGGGGGTGACTGGCTATTGAGAAACCGTTCCTTACTAGAGATTAACTACAAAATTATACATATTATGCATATTATTTATTTATCTGATACTCGAACATGTTCCAAATAAGGTAAAGCTAATCAATTAATGTGCAATGCCTTTTTCTAAAATACATAAATAATTTATATATAATTATAATATACATGGCGAATAATTTCTAGTAAATAATTATCCATGATTTATTTAATTAGAAGTTTGAACAATACACTATACTATGTAGTAGGTAATAGGTATGCCTGATGGACAACTTCGAAGGTATTTAATCCAATATTTAATCACAGCCTATAATAATATCATACTTACTAAAACGATTTTGAACGAAAATATTGCCATCTTCAGATTGCAGCAATTCCCCATTATCTAGTTTCACCACAGTGTAATTATCACTATTTATATCGAAAGAATCGGAAGATTGAACACTGGCCATTTTTCTTTATTAATAAGTAAAGATTTACTTCCAACCGTGCTTCAAAAACCCTGCTTCAAAACAAATTTAACAAAACGAAAAATAATCTCGACGCCGACGGAAAACAACCTCACATTTTCATTTTTTTTTTTTTGACAAAAATGACAATTGCACATGTCGAGTAACATTTCGCCGGGCATTCCAATGCGGCGAAATTCGAACAAGCGGGGCGCACTCCGGGTTTTAATTTAAAACATTTATGAACGGAATGAAAATGACAGAAAAAAAGGCTCGATTAATTTATGAACGATATTCGAGCGATTAATCACACAGAGCGTCTTTTGTGTGTATTTTATGAACGCACTCCAGCTGCTCTGGTTGAGATCTGGGACAATCTGTCCCAAGAGATGATTGATGATGTCCTAAGGGCGCGTGGAGGCCACAAGCGTTATTGAAATATTTATTTTTTCTGGTCCGCTGTTTTGAATCGTCATTTCTCGTTAAGTTATTGTTATTGCGATTTCTTTTGCTATTGGTATCCAAGTCTACAATAAAAAAAGACTTCAACTTGATCCTTGTTTTGAGTTGCTGTCAACGTAAAAATTCGTGATTTTGATTGAACAAATAAAATTAAATTCGTCAACCGATATTGCGAGGTCTGTTGAGGGGTGAATTGAAAAAGTCCTAAGCCTTGGTTAAGTGCCAAGCAAAAGTTTAGAGAGTTTAGCTTAGAAAAATAGCATTCCACCAAATGAAAATCATGAAAAGGAATTTCTTATCCCGCTGTGTATTTGTGAACATTCTTTTCACAATAAATTGATCGGTAAAAGGTAAAACTGCGAGCAATATTTAACTTGAAGAAAGTATTCACGCACATGACTTGAAGTTGGAAAACGACACATTTTCATATCCAATTCGTATGTCGACATGGAGAAAATTAAGGTCAATATCCACCTTTTCTTCGAAACTCTGTATTTTCGATAATATTGAGAATATCAGAGTGAATAAAAAATAAAAATGTTCGGAAAAGATCAGGCTACAGTTTTGTGTTGAAAACTGTTCTGAATTTCCAGTGGTTCACTCCAGGGGGTATCTCAAAAAGCTCTGAAAACTACTGACATTCCCCTGTATACATATGATATAAAGACGAATCATTTAATAACGGTAATACGACAGATGTAATCAATCAAGCTACAATCTGTGAAAAATTCATCGAAATCGAGCGGAGGTTTCAAAAGAAAATTGATGTCAAACTTAGTGTAAATTTTGTCCGTTCCCCTAATTTTGCCGGTGCGTGTAGTTAAGAATTTTTGAAATTTGAAAAATGCTGTATTAAAAAATATTTTCTTCAGCATCGCCGACATTTAAAGTACATCCTAAAGATAGTTAATATTGGTTGTCATTAACATTCAGTTGTCGTCCGACTTCCATAGGTTCTATTCGGTTCAAAAACATATCCCTACCTCAGTCGCACGAGTGCAAAAATGGCGCTATATCCAAGAAGAATCCCCCAGCTTGGGACAAAGTATTCAAAGTCATTCAAAAAATTTCTCAAAAAAATTGATTGTCTCAAAAGACGCGTAAATTAAAAAAAAACTTTACCCACCTTCAGGATTAAAATTACTATTTTGGTTCCACGGTATAAAATACCCAGTTATACGAATTAATCGACGACAAGCCTTTTTTTCCAAGTTATGACATTATCGATGTAATAAGTACAAACCTTCGTGAAATGAACCTTATGTTCGTGTTTTTATACCAACAGCAATACACAAAGTGTAGGCAGTGCAGAAATAGAAAAAAAAAATTCAGCTGACTAAACTATCTAAAATGTGCAATAAAATTATTGTACCTCACAAGACTAAAAAAACTTCTGATTGAACATCGGTCAATTGTTTTTATGCTGAGATTCTACATCGATATCATCAATATGCATCCCGACAATTTCAAATCGATATCGATTTCCAAGCCAAGCTAGAGGTGTACACCACTCCTCCTTCGGAGTCGTGGTGTTGCCTCGTAACGCGTTTCGTGATAGGTAAAAGTATTATCCGGTAATCCTGAAACCTTTTGTGGTATTCGATAATCCGGTGGTTTACTAATTTAGAGGGAGATTTTTTTAAATTTTTGATGTGACATTTTTATAATAGTATATTACATACCGAGTAGGGAAGTGATTCATTACTGTCGAGAGATTTATATAGTCAATCCAAACGCGAAGCGTCGATTTGAGTCGATGGCATTTTGCACGGGGGTTGAAAATGGTGTTAGAATATCACCCTATTAATTTCATGGCAAAACTCGAAATCCGAGTTGGCAAAAAATACTAAAATCTGAATACATATGCATTTTGACTTGTTGAGGGTAGTTTTTCATGTTTCGACGGGTTTGAGTCAATGGGGCTTCGCATAGGGGTTAGAAATGATGTTGAAATAGTACTCTAATAATTTTACGGCAAGACTTGAAGTCAGTGTTGGAAAAAAATACAAAAATCTCAATATTTAGGCATTTTTATTTGTTGAGGGTAGTTTTTCGTACTTTGACGGGGTTTGAGTCAATGGGAATTTGCATGGGGATTGGAAATGATGTTAGAATATTACCCTATCATATCAATTTCATGGTTAGGCTCGAAGTCCGAGTTCGCAAAAAATACTAAAATCTGAATATTTATGCATTTTTACTTGTTAAGAATACCTAGTTTTTCATGTTTCAACGGAGTTTGAGTCAATGGAATTTCGCATGAGGGTTGGAAATGATGTTGATATAGTACTTCATTAATTTCATGGCAAGACTTGTAGTCCGTGCTGGAAAAAAATACGAAAATCTCAATATTTAGGAATTTTTATTTTTTGAGGGTAGTTTTTCGTACTTTGACGGGGTTTGAGTCAATGGAATTTTGCATAGGGGTTGGAAATGATGTTAGATTAGTACCCTATAAATTTCATGGCAAGACTCGAACTCTGAGATGGGAAAAAATACAATAATCACAATATTTAGTCATTTTTATTTGTTAAGGGTAGTTTTTCGTACTTCGATGTGGTTTGAGTCAATGGGATTCTGCATGGGGGTTGGAAAAGTTGTTAGAATAGTACCCTATTAATTTCATGGCAAGACTCAAAGTCCTATTTGGAAAAAAATACGAAAATCTGAATAACTATGCATTTTTACTTGTTAAGGGTAATTTTTCATATTTCGACGGGGTTTGAGTCAATGGGTTTTTATAAGGATGTTGAAAATGGTGTCAGAATGATACTCTATTAATTTCATGGCAAGACTCAAAGTCCGAGTTGGAAACAAATACGAAACATTTATGAATTTTTACTTCTTACCGTGCGTTCGTTATTTTGGTCTGAGTTCTCCGAGCTTGACTTTACCGTTCGTTTATTCAAAAAGTGTACTCGGTGTATCCTCATTCGCGTTCGTTTATTAAAATTTCTGGCACTTTTATACAGCGTTCAACTGCTCTGTTCGCTCGCTGGTCACGTGGTTACGGCTCCGCTCTGCACGCTCTGCTCTTCGAGCAAAATACCGAACGCAAGGTCCGGAGTAGTTTTTAATATTTCGACGGGGTTTGAGTCAATAGGATTTTTCATGGGGTTGGAAATGAAATAAGTGGAAACAAATAAGTATACTAATTAACTTATTAGGTCATGAATTTCCACCTAGTAAAAGCCGATTCAATAAAAATCTTAATATTTATCCATTTTTATTTGTGAAGGGATGTTTCGAGGGGGTTTGAGTCATTGGGATTTTGCATGGGGGTTGGATCTGGTGTAAAAGAATAGTACCTACCCTAATAATTTATGGCAAGACTCGATGTCCGAGTTGGAAGAACAAGCTGCGTCAAGTTAGCCCCCCCACATTCGAATTTTCTAAAACAATTGCTACCACTTACTGTGCTCGAAGTGTGCTCTACTGTGCCGATGATATTTTGAACTGTGCCGTTTCGATAACAAAGTTATAGGAAAAAATAGATGAGGGGCTAACCTGACGCTCAGCCCCCCCAAAGTTTCGGGAATCAGATGAGAGCAAAAAGGATTCTTATCCATTCTGAAGTGTGCTGAACTGTGCCGTATCAGGTTTTTCTCAAAATTTTCATATTCGGTTATTTTCCGACAAAATCCTACTGGGGGGCTAACTTGACGCTCAGCCCCCCCAAAATTTTGGAAATCAGATTAAACAGAATTGAATTTTTATCCAATCTACAGTGTGCTGAACTGTGCTGTATCAGGTTTTTACGAAAATTTCCATATTCGGTCATTTTCCGACAAAATCCTACTGGGGGGCTAATTTGACACTCAGCCCCCCCAAAAATTTCGAAAATCAGTTTGAATAAAATTGAATTCTTATCCAATCTGAAGTGTGCTGAACTGTGCTGTATCAGGTTTTTCCGAAAATTTCCATATTCGGTCATTTTCCGACAAAATCCTACTGGGGGGCTAATTTGACACTCAGCCCCCCCAAAAATTTCGAAAATCAGTTTGAATAAAATTGAATTCTTATCCAATTCGAAGTGTGCTAAACTGTGGTGCTGTATCAGGTTTTTCTGAAAATTTCCATATTCGGTCATTTTCCGACAAAATCCTACTGGGGGGGCTAACTTGACACTCAGCCCCCCCAAAAATTTCGAAAATCAGTTTGAATAAAATTGAATTCTCATCCAATTCGAAGTGTGCTGAACTGTGCTGTATCAGGTTTTTCTGAAAATTTCCATATTCGGTCATTTTTCGACAAAATCCTACTGGGGGGCTAACTTGACGCTCAGCGCCCCCAAAATTTCGAAAATCAGTTTGCACAAAATTGAATTCTCATCCAATCTGAAGTGTGCTGAACTGTGCTGTACCAGGTACCAGGTTTCTCTCGAAATTTCCATATTCGGTCATTTTCTGACAAAAAACTAAGAGGGGGCTAAGTTGATACCAAATTTTAGAAATTAGATCAAAGAAAAACGGACTCTTATTCTTATTAAATCTGAAGTGAGCTGAATTGTGCCTGATCAGGTTATTCCAAGTTTCCATGTTTGGCCATTTCCCGATATAAACCTAATGGATGGTATGTATGTAAATTCTCA